GAACAAGAAGACATCAATCATGTCCCGTAAACTGAGATTACATCGATGTTGAATTTTTTCAAAACCAAAACACTATTAAATTATTGACTTTCTCATTTGAAAGCTGCACTTTTCGATCATTAATTTTAAAATTTTCACCTTTGTCTTCATTTGTGAAAAGACAAATTTTGAAATTGTTGAAAAAGTGGATGAATTAATAGTCAATGAAGAAAAACTAAAGTAAAATTTGTTTAATCGACGAAACTTTAATACTTCAAATTTAGATAATAAATTTTGCCTGTTAAAATGACAACATTAAATCGGTGCATTATATTTTATAGTAAGCCGCCTGAAGTGAGTGCAGATTTGATTCATTGATTAATTGCCGAATTATTCAATAAAAGATTTTAATCTTTTGAGAAATTCAGAGCAAATGAAATCAGGTAAATTTGTTGATGAATTACTTTTTCATCATTATAAAAGCTTAAAATTTCACGATATCTCAGTCACTGGAAATTCAAATTTCGAAAAATGGAAGGGGAATATCTCGAAAATAGAAGTTAAGAAAAAGAAACTTTTAACGATAGTTTTAATGCAATAAGTATTTCGGGTTCAAATTATTTCAACTTCAAATTTCTTTTTTTCCTCTTTTATTCCAGCCGCAAATGAATTTTGCTCCTAGGTGGTAATTTTATAATATTTTCTACAAAAATCTTTTTTAATTTAAAATTTCAAAAACTACAATGAAAAACGCGAGAGAATCTGTAACTTCAAAAAATTTTATTGAAAAATTTTCTTACTTTGGATTATTCGTAACACTTCAGTCATCCAGTCTTTTCCATACAATCTTTGATTATTTTTGTTTCTTACTTTTTCGATTATTTTCACTGCTTTTTTGCAAAGTTAAGGAAAATTTATTAAAATCAATTTGTTTTCTGATGGATATCGATGAAAATTTTACAAATAACACACAGCTGTCCGTTTCAGATATTAATTTTCATTCTTGCAAAATTTGCATCACAATAATTTTTACAATGAGTGGCCTCTCAAAATATGAAATGAATGTTTTGCTATTTTTGAATAATTGCAGAAAAAAGAAACCATTTGTTTTCCATGGAAAATGGTAAAAATATACCGCACATTTGCATATGTAACCCATTTTTGAATGAAAATCGTTGCATATTGTAACTCTTCTGATAGCAAATAGAATGGAAAAACATTTCAAATTTACTCAAACAGGAAGTGAATTAAACTTCCTTCTTCAGAAAGCGCCAGCTGCGCAAGAAAAAATGACTGAAGCTGCTTGCAAAGAGCTTCAAAGTTTTCTCCTTAAACAAAATATGATAATTTGGTCAGCAAATAAAATCAAATAATTGATAGCATATCCTGCAAATAATAGAGGATTAATAAGACACAATTCGCTCGAATTTAGTTTTTTAATATGACTTTCTCTGCCTTATTTAACAAACTTCCTGAATTCAAGCTGATAAAATCTTCTATATCAAAAGTGGAATATTTGAGACATAATTGAATTATTTGATATATTTGAATTACGTATCAGAAGATAAACTACATACCTAAACGCTATGATTCAATTCATCTATTGAAATAAGTTTTTTTTGTTATTCAGATAAACATTTATGGTACTTCCGGTATAAGCAACCCAATCAAAATTTTAATTATTATTCCTCGACATACTTTCCAATTTTTATTGATAGCACTGATGCATGAGAGAACAAAAAAAGTGTTAGGATAATGATAACTTCATCAATATGCCATATAGTCACTGTCGATCTGACATTTGCTATTTAGCAATCCTTCCATATAACAAACAATATGCATATTTCTCGTTCGGAAACATTCAGAAAACAACGATATTGTTATGAATAATTTTTTTAGTGCATAATTGTGCATGTATGCTTGCATGCATGCACATATGCATTCTGCAAATGCACGCACATTCATTAGTATTTTTGAAAATACATTTCATCCTTATTTTATGCTGTATTTAATTAATTATGCAAAAAAGATACATTTTCTTTGTGTGTATGGGATAGGAGGAAAGGTAAGAAAGGTGAGAGAATGAAATGGTGGGACGATAGAAAAGGACTTTGAAAGATTCTTTCGCAAATTTATTAATATTCATATTTCCAAATTTTCTTATATATTTAAGATAATTTCTAAAGAATATACTTGAAATTAATTTGCTTTAATTTAAATTGAATTAAGAAAAGAATTTGGCTTATAAAACGTTTTATTGATAAAATATTTGATTTCATAAAATTAAACTTTCACTTATTCCTTCAAATGAACGATTTTTTTAGATGCATAGCAAAAATCCAAAAATATCAATTAGTTTTTGCTCCAACTCCTTAGAAACTGTTTCAGACTGTTTAAGAAAAATTGTTCTAATAAATGAATTTGAATTGATGAAAAAAGGAAAGGCGCCGTTATTATCAAAATATATTAACAAATATTTGGATGTAAAAGCACATTCAGCTCTTGACCTTCCTAAAAAATGCATGTTGTGGCAGTTTGCTTATTAAAAAAACGAGCCTATAAGATAGAGAGGAAAACTTTCTTGGAAAATATTTCACGTCAGAGAACTTCCCATGCATTTTTTTCATTTCCCAAAAAAGCAGGCGTAAAAACCGCAAAGCTAATAGTGAATCAGAGCACCATCTGCAGCTTCTTTTGCATGCAAATGAAGAAAAAATCAAGATTTTCTTATAGTCTAGAAATTCTTCTCGAACTTCGCTCCATGAACAAAAAAAGAACAAGAAAAAAAGAAAGAGAAAGAGAAAAGCCTTTGCAGCTGTCAACAAAAAGTTTTAAAAGATCTTCGGAAGAGAAAGATGTGAACAAAATTTTCCCGTAGTAAATTCAGCAAAAATTGTTAAGTCTTGTTTGTTTATTTCTTTTTTTCAATTTTTTTATTTTCTATTAAGCTATTTTGAAAATACAGAAATACTTGAAAAAATTATTAACAGCAACAGTTGTATACGTAAATTATGTGTTGCATTGGAAGAAAGCAAAAAAAAACTTTAAAATATCCAAGTTTGTAAATCTGTCACATTACACATATTGCAACTTTTTCTCTATCAAGGAAATAAAATCAAGAGTTTTTTTTCAATTTTTTTTGGATCAATACAGCTACTTTTATTTCAAGCTCAGTGGTAACTCTCAGTTTATGCAGCTGTTTGTTTCCAATTATTGATTTTTAATTGTGATAATGATTTGTTTTTTTTAATTTAAATCTCAAATTAAATAGGAAAAGAGATAAGATGAGTGAAGTTATTTAGTTTGCTGATCAAAGTACTAGATCTGAAGATATACATATATACGATGAATCATCTTTCTGTGAAAGGAAAGATGAAACGGTTTTCTTAACTCGTAGGAATTCAAGAAAACAATCGGATGGATACGTATATTACGTGAGGAGAAAACGTGAAAGGAATAGAATATCGATTATAAAAACAGTTTAAAAATTTTCCTCATTACTTATTCATAGCAAAATTTTAAGAAAATGAAGGGGGTAATTCTTAATAAAGATGTGAAGCTCAGACAGGCACCAAAGTCGGCGAAGATAGGCATTCATAAAGGAAAAGCGAACTTACCCGACAGCCACCTTTTTATTTTTCCTTCTACGGTACATTCTTCTTCCTATGTATACTCCGCCGATAATGGTATGGCCGAACTTTTTTTTCCAGTTTTAGAAAATAAGTGAGAACAATTAACCGCATCTTACACCCTCCTTTAATCCAAGCATGCACGGCTAAACTGGATCCGATCACTCTTTACTTGTCACCGGAATAACTCGTTACATCAAGCATTCAGTCATGCTGTCACTGATAAGTTCACTTCAAGCATGAAATTTCGTCTTTTCAAGCTAGCATTATTGCATTTGAATCGCAAGAATGATACTTAAGGCTCAAATAAAAATGAAACAAATAATAACGATTTAATTTTAAATTCATATTTAACATATCGAAAAGTCCAATTGACTATCTGATTGAGGACATTTCCACATCGGTAACTTTTTTTTGACAGAATGTTCCGCGAAAATAATTATGAAAGGAAGAAATTGTTGCGGAAAATAGACAATGGTAAGCCGGAAATTAAACTTTGTTTTTTTTCATTTGAAAAAATGAAATTACCAATAAAACTTGCCCTCGAAAATAAAAAAAATTTTTGCATATTAGAATGAAGTTGCTCTCTATGCAAATTCATTGTAAAATGATCATTTCTTTTACGTAAAGCTACTTGATAATTGGTAAAATTACAGTTAATAGTTAATCTGAACGATTGCAAAAATTATTAATTCATTTTTTCAAAGAAAAATTTTTTATAAAGAAATAAATCGTTTTACGCTATTTTGAATAAAAATTTCGCGCATGACAACTAATGTGATGTGCTTATTTAATCCAAAATTTCACATTATTGAATTTAAGTGAATGCAACAAAAAAAGTCCCGAAAATTATTATTCGAAAATTGATTAAAAACATGGATTAATTTGTCGTAAAAAAAGCATTCGCAATAAAGAAATGGCAGTTAATCGTAAATGGATCATTAAAAATACAATAGTATGAAATTGTAAAAACAAATAATGCGAAATTGAAATACGTGTAAAAGTTATTATCATTTAATAGCTAAAAATTTCGTAAAAACAATTGAAAAAATAATCTTTTTAAATCCCTTCCATTGCAAATCAATTGTGTGGTAAATTGTAACAAATTTTTTTTAACAATCTTCAAAACAGCCTGTATTCTTTGCTAGGTTATTTTGCCAGGCTAGAGAAGTGCTTAGTTGAAGAAATATCAGTCCAAATGATTTTATTAATGCGGGATTATTTTTTTACACTAAAAATAAATTCATGCATTTCAGTTCAAATAATAATTTTAATATTTTAATTGTTTTAAAATTTTTAGCAAAAAAAAGATTGCACGAAAATATTGATCGATAACGATCACATTATATTTTAGATCTGAAATATTTAATCCCCATTTATGCATCAGAAATCCTACGATTTATCACTGGAAGACGGCAAATTTTGGATCACCGATTTTTCTTGAGCGGTTGTGAATTGTCGCGATATGTTTGATGAAGTGCCATGCATTACTGCATTTGATAATACTGGGGTTTCATCGAAATACACTTTTGCTGGGATATTTAATTGAAATTCACCTGCAATTTCAAAATTTTTCTAAATTGAAAAGAATACGTTGATTGCTTAAAAATAAATGATATTTGAAAAATACTCACTAAATGTGTGTTGAAAATATAGTTAATAAATGATAATAATGATAACAGTTTTTTTACAAAATTGACTTACTTCAGGAAATATATGCTCATCCAATAACTTAACCGCTTAATCATTTCTAAGTTTTGACTCTTTATTAGCCAATCTGAGATGTATAAGTTGAAAAAATGAATTAAACTTGCCCGGAGCGTTTGAATTACCGGAAGGACGATACATCGCAACAGTGGCAACACAATTAGTACTGGTATTCCACTGTCTGGCAATACCCATTTCAGATGTTTCCTTCCAAACTATTTGAGTGAAATGTTGCGTCTCTGAAAAAATTTTTTGAAATTGTCGAAGTAGCTGAACAAATAGTTCTGGAATGGGAATTTCAAATTTGATACAAATAAATTTGCTATAAATTGGTTGGCCGAATGATTGAGTGATTTATTCGATTAATCCTTTACTCATAAAAATTTTTAATTTAGCTCTAAAAATTTTGCAACAGTGGTTTCTAATCCAAAAAAATTTTGAGAAGTAACGGACTTTCGATTGTCGGCTTCTCAGAGAGCCATTCAAGTTTATTCCAATTTCTTTGTTCTCCAATTATAAAATTTGTAAACGATATTCGTTTATTATCCTTTAAAGCAGTTCATCAAAGTTTTATCGCCAATTTTCAAAAGTAAGTATTTCTGTTTGAAAACATTCCCGGTTAATGATGACTGCATGATTAATCGCTTTCTATTAATGTTCTCCAGTTTTTTATCCAATTGCTTATTTTGAGAGTGCGTAGCACTTTCGTTCTCCCGTCATCCTACAAATTCAAAGTGCCACTGATAAGTGATTCTCACGGCACTTTACAAATTCGAAGTACCACTAATAAGTGATTCTCATGGCATTTTACAAATTCGAAATATCACTGATAGTGATATGCGCCAATGACGCCTATTTGCCCCATTGTAAAAATGCTGCCAAAAATCATTGACAACATGCTCGAAGATAAGGTAAGACCCTTCGAAATCGATTAAAAAAAAGCTTTTAATCGACTTCGAAGGGTCTTTGGTGACGTTGCAAACGTTGCCACAGTTCACGTAACAGTAAACATACAATTTTTTTCAGTCAGTAATCGTTTTAATTAGCAAATTGATTGCCGATAAAATGATTATTTTAAGTTACATTCCATAAAAATCTCAAATTCCGCAAAACTATAAAAAAATTTGGAAATTTTAAAATATCTTCTTGCAATTTAGTATCTTTAGAATTTAAAAAGACTTCGAAAAGCAGTGAACTCACTGGGATTCCACCGAGGTCTCTCAAAATCGAAGTCCTCTGCTTCTCGACACCAAATTTCGGTAATTTCATTACCAGAAGGTAGATGAGTTCGTTCATCTGCTACTGTTAATCGTATATTTTCGCCTATTCCTGACAATTAGTTATATTTCATTCCAAAATTATAAAATTGCTATTTGATTGATATGTAATATAAAAAATCATTCCAAAAAATTTTATCTTTAAAAAATTTGTTTTGAGTCAGTATTTTATTTTATATCATACAAAGTTCATTTTCTTTGCTCTTCGCTCTTTTTTGAGAGAAAAAAGAAAGCATTTCATAATCAAAACTTTATTTGTTAAAGTAAAATAAAGAATTAATAATATTAGTTTAACCCTGTAATTCTGGAAATAATATTCGTCCTCGTTCAGCCAATTTAACTGCCCAGGAATGAGCTAAATCACATAATTCCTGAGACCATACCAATGGTTGGCATCCATATCGTGCCCTTACCGCATTATGAGCATCCAAACATTCACGTTGAAAATTCACTTCACCTGTAAAAAATTAATGAATTTTTTGAATGGTACATTAGTTAATCAATAATTAAATTATCTGAATGCCTATTTTAAAACTAATCAATGCCTGTCATCAATAATACAATTCACATTTCCAACACTTAAAATATTCGGTTTGCTAAAAAAATTTTAAATAATACTCGACAAAACTTTTGTTCACTGCTTCACTCAGATTTTTGCGATTTTATGAAATTCAATTGTTTTCTACAGTTTTTTAGTATAACGACGGTTAAATTAATGAAATTCCATTCCAACTAGTTATTTTGTTATAAAATTATTATTATTGATTTCAATTGCGTGACAGCCTTCTTTCACGAGAATTGAATTGATTCTTACCACTTTAGTTATAAAACATTCGCATAGAAAAGTTTCATAAGTATATTTTATCATCAAAATAGTTGACTTTTAATACAAAACTTACCAACCGCAACAAACTTAGGCCTCTTTTTGACATATTTGACATCGGCGATGGTTTGCATCATATGTTTATCTAATTCTTCATCAAAATGTCGTTCTTCTATCGATGACGATGTGGCATCAAAACAACTATGACATTCATCTGTAGTTGTCGATTCTCTAAAATTTTGAATTTCCTTTAACAAAATTTTTTACTTTTAATAGAATTATAATCATGAATGGCAAATGAATTTAAAAATATGTGAAAAAATGTTTTGAATTGAAAAAAGGAAAGAAAAAATAATTTTACTTGAAATCACCGGTTGTACGACAGAAAGTACCACTTGCTGCAAGTGTTGTTATCCCATTGATGCTACAGTTTTCATCTATCTTTTCATGTTGATCCGATTTCGATTTTTTCAATTTTTTTCGACCAAAAATTTTTTTCATCACTACTGAAATGGAATATATTTTAAATGCTCAAATAACTACATTTATAGGGTGCCGAAAATTCAAATTTTCACAGAAAAAAATCATTTAAAATTAATTTTATAAAAGTAGAAAAAAATCATTTCAAATTAATTTCATAAGAAATATGCTTCATAAGATAATGATATGCAAAGAATTTATGGCAACTTTTATGTCAAAAATACTATACAATTACGTATAAACACTAGCACATATTTAAAAAAAAAAATGAAAAATGCGAATATCGTGGGAAGAAGCTTCTCTCTAAATTAAGTTTTATCGAGAGAAAGGAAAACGAAAATACCGTTTTGCCTTATGAATATTCACGTTGGATGGATGATTTAACTGTGCTATCCTTCCAATTCAAATGATTTCACTAATCTAATTTGGAATTTTAATTAAGAGAGATGGAAGCGCTTCAACCCTTCTCTCAGTGCGTTCATTTTGTATATTCATCAAATAATTAGTATAAAATTATCGGTGAATTAAGAGTAAAAGTAGGAAAATATCTCAATTCATATAATAAAAGTTATTTGCAGAGATAAAATGTTCACCTCAAATATAAAGTTTACTTCAAAATTAAATTATAGACTTATTTATTTTACGATCAGTGTTGTTAACGGCACTGTAAAACAAGAAGTTGAAAATTAACATCTTGCAGAATGAGCAAACATCTTAATTGCTGAATTTATTTTTTTCAAATGCATTAAAAAGCTCATTAAAGTTCAGAAAGACGAAAAAACATAATTTATTGAACAAGAAATATTTCAATTATCCTATACAAATTTTGATCGACAATGGAAGAGTAGAATAAATGCTTCTGTTTAAATATTTTGCAAAATTGCGAGGATATCATGTGACAGTGTTTTTGATTAATACAA